AAAATGAAATGAAAAGACAATGGAATTCTTCCATGAATTTTTTGAAGCCCCCTTGTATATATAACACATTTGCCAATTTAACATTTTCAATGTGTACGATTTAGTGACATCAATGACATTAACTGTGTTGTGCAATCATCACCAGTATCTATTCTCTGGGAAATATTTTAACAATAAAATACACATATACCTTACCATTTGACCAATTAGATTATTGGTTTTCTGTGCATTTCTCCTCGATGATGAATCCATATCAACAAAAGACCAAAAACTGCACTGAACTGGAAAAGTCATTTGTTGATCGACATCCTCCCCAAATTTCTTCCCTGGGATATACACTGTAATGCTTCTGCTCTCCAGAACTAAGTCAGAAAACATTATTCATGTGTTATTTAAGTTCATTTTGGTCTATTTATCTACAAATTAATAACAAATATTATTACATAGAATTTTACTGTCTAAACTTTGAATAGTGAAGGCAATTTGATTGCTTTACAAGGTATGGCTAAATTAGAGCACCTGCCGTAAAATGAACAAGGCAAGACAAAGAAGTGAATGCTTATGTGTCTCATGGTTTGATGAGAGTCCAATGTATGTACCCAGAACTGTGGTTGGGCTTATGATTGGAGTACTAGGCAGAGGAATAGGAGATTGGCCATGTAGTGCAGGCTTACATGGGAGGCTGAAAGTAAGTCATAGTCTTTTATGTGGAAAAACTTGATAGAGGGACATTTATGTGACTGTGAAAGGGGAAGATTGGGAAAGAATATGAATTATACTTATTGGGAGGAGGATACATTTCAAATTCAACATACTCAAAATGAAATTCATAGTTTCCTCCCTCAAATGGCTCTTCACTAAATGGTTCCTTACTCACATTTGATGACATCACCAGCCAGCCATTCAAAACCCAAGCAATAAACGTGAAGATATCCTAGTTTCCTTTCTATCCATCCAGTACCCCTTATGTCTATTCAGTCTAAGGATACAATCTATTTCTAGAATTTTGCCACCCAAATATTCCTTATATTAGTTCTCTCCATTTATGATAACAGAGATGTTTGTGTACATATTGAGTTACGTTGTCGTTGCCTAGTGCCATGGAGGCGGTTCCGACTCAAGGCAACCATTATCACAATCATCATGCACCATCGTCACAATTGTAACTATGTTTAAGCCCATTGTTGCAGCCACTGTGTCCATCTCTTTGGGGGTCTTCCTCTTTTTTTTTT